AACACAGGCCACAAGCGTTACGTTTTTAGTAAAATACAATTATATAATTATAAATATGGTATATATTTTAAATAATTTTACAATATTTTAGTCGTGACTTACAGTATAGATTTATTATTTTTATTGTTTTGAAAAATTGTATTGTATTGGATTCATTTTCGGGGTTTGGGCCTAGAATTATTCCAATGTTGGGGCTTATGTTTAGTTCTTCTCTTTGTATTTGATATATTCTGCATTCTTCAAAAACGTGTTTAATTATGAGAGTGGTGCCACATGTTTGGCATATTGGTGGTTCGTTTTTTTCCATCAAATATCAGTGGATCAATTTTGAGTGTCCAATTCTAGCTCGATCCAGTTTTTTTTCGTAAGTGGTACTAATGTTTGGGTTTCTTTTCCATCTTTTTACTGTTTTTTTAATTCGGTTTAATTTGTTGGTTTGGATGTTCCATATGTTTTGCCAAAAAGAGATTGTGTTTTGTCTAATCTGTTTTCTTACGTCAGTGTACTGAGAAATGTTTATGAATTGTGCGTCACTTGAGCGGATACCAAGTTTGGCTTGTTTATCTGCCCTTTCATTGCCATCTATGTGTCCAGGTGTCCAAATAAGAATTATAGTATTGTTTCTTTTTTTTTGCTTCCTCTAATCTGTTTTGAATTTGTATTGTTATGTCACTAGGATTAAATTTGTTTTTTACACTAATGAGGGAGCTTAATGAGTCGCTTAAAATAATATATTTTTCATTTTCATTTTGGTTAATRAACTTGATGGCTAGCAGTATGACTACTGCTTCGGCTGTATAATATAACATGTTGGTGGTAATTTGAATGATGTTTGTAGATTTTCTTTTACTAAGGCTATTCCTACCCCTTCATCATTTTTTTAGTATGACAAAAATTCTATGAGGAATTTTCAGCAACTTGATGAAATTCTTTACAATAAACCACCTTTAAATTTATAAATTTTAATTATTTTTCTTAAAAAAAAAATAATTTAAAACTAAATACATTTAACCTAATACTTTAATACTTTTTTTTTTAAATGATTATTAACTAATGATTATTTTTAGTAGTTAGATTTTTTATATGAAAGTATTATTACTACATATTTCTGCTTGAAAATTTAAACTTATGATAATTGCAGGTCAAACATACAATTCATACATAATATTTAAGTTTTTCGTAATTTCAAATTCATTGAACAAAAATAATTGAAAATAATAAAAGTAATCGTTTTTCTGGAATAAATATAATTTTCATATAAAATAAAATGTATTTATAGTGCATTTCATTATAATAATATTATCATGGAAATCGTAGACCAGTTTTAACAAATATTTATTTCTTTTTATGTTTTCAAGATCTGCTGGCATTAATTGTTCATAATTAAAATACGTTAGATGTTTATACTTTTCATACTAGTAAAAGATCGCATATAGGTAATAAATTGTATTATAATATGAATAAAATATATTCACCATATTATATAGCTGAATAACCTTATTTTTAAAATATATTGGCTATTAAAAACTTGATACTCCACATTATTTCACAGTGAGTTTCAAATTCCATTTAAAACATACAAATTAAAACAATATGTATATATTGTATATCTAATTTATAAAAACTATCAATGATAAGTATAAAATACATTATAATATTTGATAATGCACAACTCAGTTGTAATAATATTTATGTTCTCTGCATACAAAGATTTTGATTAAAATATTTTTGTAAAGAATGAAAATAATCACAAAGTAAAATATTTTGACTCTTTAATTTTTAATTAAAGCATCCTTGTGTAGTGTTAATATAAATAAATACATTTAATACAAAGCTAACTAGGCACTAAAAGTTAAAAGKTTCAATTAAACTATCGTGGTAATTAATATCATCAATGTTTGCTCATAAATCATAATATTACAATTTATTAATACAATTTTTTATTCGAATATAAATCATAATTACTAATTGCTTAAATGTTACAAGATGAGTAAATGTAGGTAGTTGTTTCCACCCACATAATCATCTAATTTTTCATAATAGACATTATTATATTCTAATATTAGATTAATTTCTACCTAAAATCATGAACAATACACAATATACATATTATACATTTCAATCATTATTTTACAAAATGTCTAAAAAAATWAAAATTTATCATTAAACTAATTCAGATTTCTCAAGCACATCTTGAAAAAAAAAATTAAAATAGCAAAGTGAGTAAAATTCACAAAAAAAAAACCAGTTTGTTGTATTTTTTTTATGTATAATAAGTTCTCGAAAAAATATGTTTGCTATACATAAAACGTTATGTTAAAACAAAAAAAAAGTCTACACTTTTTACTATATAAACTATAAGGAAACAAACGATTTGAACCAAACTATAATATATTGTATGTGTGTATGTGCCAAAGGCTTTAAAGTTAAATTTTAAAATATGAGAAGGTGAGATCTTGTAACTAGTGGCAGTATAAGAATGCTACTTAAAATCCCTATAAAAAATAACGAATATTCCAGCTTAAAATATTGTCTATTAAGAATTATTTAAAGTTTTGTCTTCTAAACAAACAATGTACGTGTGAATTCTTCGTTAATTCAATCAACCTAGTTAWTAAATTAAAAATATTCATYACCGATTTTTTATTTTATGTGAAATCAAACAAACATCTTTAAATGATGAATCTAGTCATAAGTGATAATATATTTGTACATAATTTATAACTATATAATATATATATAAATAATAAAAATATCATTTTATTTATATTTATATGCCGACGCGCGACGTATAACTTAAATCTTAAGATAATATACCTATTGTTAGCAATATGTTTAATAATAAGTTATGTACAATGCGCCCTAATGTCTTGAAACTTGAACCACACAACCATAAAATAATAAATTCTAAGAGTAGTTTTAGTACAGGTAATAATACGAGTATGCATGGGTAGTAGTATAAGAAGACGAAATATATTTTCATGGCATACCTTCTTAAAAATATAAATTATATTTTTAATATTTATTTTTTCCTAAACCACTTGCAGAAAATAATAAACATTACAAGTTATATGGATTTAAAAAACAATTATACTTTTACCAAAAAATATTTATGTTTATTTTCTTAAGATGTTTTATTTTAAAGATGAATTGTATATTTCTTTTTAGATAATAATTGTATAAAATTCATATTGTGGTAGCTAGTAAACCAAAAACAATTTAAATCTTGTGAATAAACCAATTCATTTATGTCACAAACAACGACTGACTTCAAAATATGTCTGAATTTAAATGATAAACAGTTTTTCAAGATGGGAAAAAATGAAAAGATATTAATATTATCATTTTGAGCTTTAAAATAGGTAAATGAAATTACATGATACAATATCATCTCGTTTTACTTGTTCAAATGTAAGTACTACAAGTTATACTCTAGTATTCTTGATAAGTGATAACTTAATTTTTTTTTAACTAATTTAATTGTAGGTACTATTGTTGTACTCTGTCAATAACTTGAAAATCGAAAATATTTTTTTACCTCATAAGTTTTTATTTGTGTAGTTAAAAAAATTAAATGACACACCTAATATAAACATAGTTTTTATGAATATTTTTGAT